TTTTATTTATCCTATATTATGTAAAAATTTAGTAATTTTTTACTAACAAACTCAGCAGTTTCCATGGAATATGTTGCTGTTTGACAAAGCGTAAGATCTTTCAGATTTAAGCAGCAATCTTACGATTTAAAGGAAATATGTCACCATTCGGCGGAGGATAAGACATTTTCCTTTTTAATCAATAAACTCAGCAATTTAAAGGAAATATGTTATTATTGCATGAAATAAAATATTTTTATCTTCCATGCGCCAGTATGTTGCCATCCGGTAAAGCATAAGGTATTTAATTTTTCTTTCAAATTTGAAGTATCTGTTATTGATTAACAAACTAACTAAATTTTAAAGTAATAATCGCAGTTCTCTGTTTTTATTAACTGTGAACTGGACCCCTTAATTTACATTAGTTGGACTCATTAAAATTCTAATATATTTTTCTTGATCGTAATTATTATTTTAGGCCGCTGGCTCCATAAGCGACTAGTTCAAAGATAAAACAAAGCTCTAAATTATTAAAAAAATACATTTATCTCTCGTAATTCGCTTGGTTTATTAATCAGTTGGAGAATGTCTAAATTCGAAAGTAATTAAATGGCTTATATTTTGCCGAATGGCAACATTCAGAACTGGTTGGTTACGTCTGAGGTGCGTTGAAGACAAGCACGTTATGTTTTGCTCAGTGAACTAGATTTGCCAAGGCGAGTGGTTGATATGGCCATAATAGCGTGTAACGTAACATAACACGTCTAAACATTTTGAAAGACAGTTCGTTTCTAATGTAATTCTACTTCGCATCATGTTTCATCAACTCAATTTCTCCAGCCTTTTTTTTATTGTTATTATTATTTAATCTGCAAATGCAGCCATCAGAATTCCCCCACCATACTCACACAATAAAACACACAAACGGGATAAGAAGGTACTTCCCGTTATTTGACCTTTACGCAACATAATTCAACCATGACTAAAGCCACGGCATGTTTGAATTTGTCTCTCGCATCGCTTAAGGGGCGACGAGTATAACTTTTATTGTCGTCACATTTCCATTGGGGAAGAACTGCCCTTGAAATGCGGAATGACCTTATTTCAACTGCTGTAACTACTTCAGACGAGAAAAAAAATTCATGATCATTTAACGACATTGTATCTGCAATTCACCTCCCATTAACAGTTATTTTGGTAACGGTCATTCGTTGAATGTCAGTCATAGACATGCACTTTAGAAATAAGTAATAGTGTATGAATACACTGACTCCATTTGTTTTTGGACCCTTGAATTTTTGAAATTTACTTGCATAGACCTTATACTAAATACTGGAATGCAGATTGCAATTATGTTTTCCCCTAATGTATTATTTTTTCTCTATTTTAAGTCTGCCCTATTGCAAAATAAATATCATCAAAATATTTCTTGCAATAAAATAATTTATTCAAAAAGTGTTAATCAGTTACTCGAGTAATAATTCGGGAACTTAACAGGGGTTTAGTTAAATGTTTTTGCACGTGATGTTATTTATTTATTTTTATTTATTTACTCTATTTTAAATAAAAGTATATCAGGAGAATTATCATGTGCATTTGAAAATTATTACTTGTTTAGCAAAGTGTACGAATAGTTCCATATCTGAAGCAACCATGGCGAGACGCTACAAATTAACGACGCTACAAGTTCTCTTAAAACGAGACGCTACAAATTCTCTTAAAAATTAATTATTCATTATTTCAAAGATGGTAAAAGTATACAAAACACAAGCTGTCTTTGATGTTATAAAATAACGAAAATTGTGTGGAACGGCTGAAAATTGCACCCATTTTAAGTAAAGCTAAGGAACAGGAGATTTATCTAACGAAAAGTCAAAGAAGACTTAGTGCTGTGAATTATGTAGCGGATTTAAAAGAACGATTTGCAATAAAAGTTAACTTTGAAACTTTGAAACTGTTTGAAGAAGAGCCATTAGACATTAAAGCACTTGGATGCAATGTCCGATCAACAGGAATAAAATTCTTACTCAACAGGGAAACAATGAAATTAGGCCTGGCTTTCGCAAAACTGTGGTAAGCGAAGATTTATCATAATGAGATACTGTTACGTTATCAGACAAGTCAAAATTTAATATATTTGGGTCCGATGGATGATTTACTGTGTGGCCAAACCCGAATGAAGGACTTAATACGAAAAACCTATTGTCTACTGTGAAGCACGAAGGTAGAGGCATAATGGTTTGAAGATGATTTACTGCTTCTGGAATGAAAAATTTAGTTTTTATAGAAAATAATATGGATTCGTGTAAATATGTAAATCTTCTTGATGAACTCCTAAGAGTATCTGCAACAAAACTTAGAATGTAATGTGCATTCAAGTTCTATTAGTATAACGATCTTAAATATACAGCACTAAATGTTCGCTTATAGTTATTGTATAGCTATTAAAGTCCTTATTATAATCTTGCTGTTATCAAAACTCTTCCATATTCTACTCACTTCAAACATGAAGCGAGCTGGAGGAAAGACTAAGGAAGCATAATACTTTATCGAAAGCTCAAAGGAATTCTTACTGAGAAATTGAACAAATAGAACATTTTGCATTAAACTATTTGCTGAATCCATTACAAAGCGCATAAAAAGTGTAATTGTAATTAAAGGAAATTCGAACAAATTTTGAATGTTCCTTAAATTTCATGTTTTATGCAATATAAACTGTTTGTTTGTTCAAAGTGCCTGAGCATGTGAGTTTCTTTTCAGAACCTTTTGAATAAATAATTTTTTGAATAAAAAGTCGTTCAAAAAGTTTTTATTCAACTTTTCTCGAAATAGAAGTATTTCAAAAAAGATTATCGATAGTATACGGGAAAGAAAACTAGTCATTTCGCTAATATTTAGTAATTGATAGATAGTCACACATAAATGTGAAAACACAACATTTGCACTTCATGTACTTATGTACTAGTTGCTTTATGTCTTCAAATAAATTTTAAATTTATCTTCCACAAAGATTTTATGTAAAGTTAGCTTATATCCTCTAATTAATTATCAACTAGTTTAGTAGATAATGAAATTGTGTAATTACTAAAACTTATTGCTCAGGAAAATGATACCTAATAAAGCTAACTACATTTGTTCAGCTACTTAAATGTTAGACAGAGTAATTACATGCGCTATTTATATTGGGCTTCCAAACTTTAGGAAAGAAAATCCGGCACATCATATGGAAACTTAATTTTACAGTTACAAAGGTATGGCTATGACTGTAACGAGAAGAAACAAGTATAGCTCTGCAAAACAAACTAAAATTGCTGGGATGAAACAAAAATTTTAAAGCAATGAGTTTGATCAACAGGCTAATTTTGAAAATACACTCGTATGGTACAACATTAAAAGAATCTGCACATTATTGTCAAATTTCTGAAAAACTAAAGGATAGATTTTGATGAAACTTGGTATGAATGCACATTTATAACAGAGAAAGCGATGTATCACTCAAAAGTCATTTTACTTACGCACGATTACCCGTAAAAAATCATAATCTAAGGATGTCCAAAATTCATAATATGTTATCGAACTGAAAATGAGTCTAATAGGGAGTATGGTCCCCTTTCATAACCAGACAGCTCTCGCAGCGTGACAGTATAATGAACAGGGGCAGTTGAGGACTGTCACAAGGACTTCTCCACCTTAGAGATAGAAAACGGCTGCTATAAATTTGAATTTTTCTCTTATCGTTATTTAGATTAGTTTTGATAAATATAGTAAATAAAACCTTGGGTTCAAGATTAATTTATCTAGCTCACAATCAATTTAAGGTGTCACGTGAATTCCCTAGTGAGTTTTCACTTCAAGTATATTTAATTCTAAACAAACAAACACAGAATTAAAAATCACTTTAAATTTATTCTACGTCACCACTTGCGAAGGATTAAATTAAATTATATAAATCACAAGAAACCAACCAAATGGACTTCGCTTAAAACGCAAGCTTCTTTCATAATTTTTATGAATTCAACTATTCGCCTAAGCTTGTCTGAGGGTACAAGCTTAGTCTAGAAAGCGACCGAAAAGTCGACATACAAAACCTGACTCTATTCTTACTCTACAGTCGTAATTGGAGACGCAAAACTTTTACTCGGCAAGGCAGATGTGGCTAACAGGTTAAAACTCTTACACATAGCTAGTCTAGTGGTAATTTCTGTAACTTTACAGTAAAAACTATTTGCCACTCAATTCTACATGAATTCTGGAATGAGAGAATTTCGTGACGAAAAGAGGCAGGAAGGAGAAATATAAATTAAGTAACCTCTCATTAATAAAACTTAAACATAAATGCCACAAGGTGAATCTTCATAATTCTTTCTCTGTGGCTTTTGGCGATATGCAGATCACATGTTAAACTGTAGACTGGAGAGGTATGCATGATGATGATTAATATGAACTTCTGAATTGTGATGATATTTTCATTTTTCTGTACTACCAATTATATACTTTTTCCCCATTGGCGGGCACTTAGCTGAATTAGGCTTGGCCATGACTAAGGCAGGAAGTGGTGGCCACTTTATTGTGGAAACATCTAATAGGTGGTTACCTTCTACGAAGGGACGAACTCCATTTCTCCTCGAGATTCGAACCCGGGCCCTTCGGTATCACAATAGGCTTCCCTACCAATTATACTATCTGGGAGATCTACCAGTTATTATTACCGCTCTACATTTTAGGTTTTTATAAATATTCATTAGCCAGTTACTGCAATCTGAGGTCCTAGCCAGAAAATCTTTACAGGAGCTTTCAATTCTCACTTTCATTACTTTTAGTATCTTTCACTGCACATGTAAACTGAAATAATTCCTCAAATTAATTTCCTCACATTAATTCACAAATTACTTATCGAATCGTAACATTTTTGCAAATTTTCACGGGTAGTAAATGAAAGAGTAAACATCTCTAATTCCATTTCAAGGAAATAATTACTAAATCCATGTGCCTAATTATTTGTATTAATTATATTTTTTCAGACGGCCTGAAACATCATTCCTAAATATTCTGCACCCTTTGAAGACTGTTCGTTTCATCTTATGGAAGAATTATAAATGGACTGTCATCAAAATTCTGATGATAGCAGCCCTTGCTTTAATTCTGTTGCTCTTCTTCTATTCAGCTCCTGGGTATACAGTCAAGAAACTTTTGAAGGCGTGATGTTCTCATAAACTGGAGTGCCAACAAGGAGACAGCAGTTTTTCTTTTTTATTTTACATAATTCTTAAAGAATCTTGATAATTTCATCAAATATGGGATCTTCATCAAATCCCATATTTGATGAAATGTGGGATTAATCTAACTATATATATTTTTTTCTATTCATGAAATGCGATTATCAATTTTCTATAATTATATTGAAAATTTAAATTTAAATCAAGGATCTATTTTGAAAGATTCATTAAGACTAAAATATTTTATCCCTAATTTTCTTTTTCTAAATATATTAGGTGATTTTGTATTTGAATTTAAATTAAATTTTGTACAAAATATGATTTTTTTAATTAGAATAAACCATTTTATTATAATACTTTTATTTCAAAGACTTGAGAAGACATGTGTAAGAATTAAAATTTTTAAAGTTTGTTAAAGTTTGGTTTTTGAATAAAAACCTCACTTTTTTGGCCTGCCTGTACTAGTCGCTTTTATTTTTATTATTTATTACATATTACATGCTAAACATATACCAAGTGTTATTGAAAATCGTGTGAATTTCATTTTAAGCAGTGTGAGTACTGAATAGTATTAAATTAAGTGATATGTATGTATATATAGGATGTCTATTTGAATATTTTGTCAATATCTGTCAATCTATAATTACGAGTATATTGCAACAAATCATAGCCAAAAGTAAATCTCATGGTATATTGTATTATAGATAAATTTTGCTTACTACAATCACCTGGGAAAATTTCTGCTATGGAACAATTCCTGATGCTGAAATATGTATCTTTCAGGTTCCCGAATTATTTTTAAAGTCAAAGATAATTTTGTTTAGTTTGCAGAAGTAGATCTCCGGACTCATATCTTGATATTGTGACTTATCTGTCTTGCCTAATGGTAATATCAGGTTAAAGTCCACAAATTTTATTGTGGCTTATACGAGAGTAGCGCTGTCATTGGCTTAAACTTAGCTAAGGCAATGGCAGGATAACTTAGTGGCTTAGGCTGTCACTGGCTTCGCCAATAAAAAGTACTCGCACAAATGAACTTGTACGAATTCGCCAGTACAAAGTACAAATTATCTCAACCTCTTTCTGTTTTTGAAGAAGAATATACCGGGGAATAGATCAAGGTTCTTCCACCCCTCTTCCCTTTGAGCAGTCTCTCAACAGGACTTTCGGCTTGACAGTATTTTAAGTATCCCCATGCCGCAAAGCATTATACATTTGAAAATATCCTCGCCTCTGAGACTCGAACTATGCCAACAGGACTACTAATTAATTCCATACAGGGTGAATCAAAAATAATCTGACATATTAAAAATTTGTAAAAAATTGACAAGTTTTCATCAGAGAATGCGGTTTGCACCCAAATTCATTCTGTAAATTCAAATTTTTCGTGACAGCACGGAAGGATCAAAACTTTCCTGACACATGGCGCTGCGCCGTTGAAAGTATAATGCAGATTAGACTGCCTTCAATAGAAGTTGTTCACCTGTAGAACTGGAGTCGTGTATACTATTTTAAATCCATGCGCTTTAATTATGGATTATTGTAAATTTGAATTTGGTTGATAGAGCAGTGCTGGAAAAAATGGAATAACTGTGTCAGCTTTCCTACAGGCTAGTAAACTTAAATATATAAAAACAAATCGAGGCTCTATGGCTGCGAGCACACAAAAATCTCGCGAATGACATTTCAAGAAAACTGCCAGTGTGCATTTTCGAAATCACAGTGGCAGACTGTACAGCTGGTATAAATTTAAAACTCGTTTCCCAGACCAAGTATTTTTTTCAAGCATTCATTAGTGTGAAATAAATTTAGTGAGCAGTCAACACTTGTCCTACAATAATTTGCCATACCAGCTATATATATATATATATAATTTATTTCCTAAACAATATTGATTAATTGATTATATTATATCCTAAGTTTAATTAAAGTAGAAATATTTTAAAAGAGTGAATCCATACTAGTAAGTTATATTTTGAAAGATGTTTTGAAGTAACTTGAAAGTAAAATGTTAAATCATCATGAAGAACAAAATTTCAATTGTAAAAGGAAAAATTAAATTAAATGCATGTAATCATTGTTATTGATCGGAAATTAGTTGACTTTTCAAGGGGAACAAACCAACTCCCGTTCAATGAGCAATAATCAAAAAATAAATACGTAAATACGAAAGTGTTTCGTCTTTACTCGAGTAATAAGGTCTAGCCAAACCGGCAATTCTAGTCAGGCCAAATATTTCCGCGAATAGAAGGGATTATAACCCAATGCTCATACTCAAAGAACTTATTCCTATGAAGCATTTTAGCCAATTCAATTTTGAGTGAAAAGCAATTTCTGTAAGGAATTCCGAAAAAACTCGAATAACCGTCCCCCGACACCCCCCCTGTTTATGCATTGAGTTCTATATTATTTGTAAAAATTAAACACTGGAAATTGTCATTATGAAATAGAATTCAATTTTTTTCGGAAATCCCTACAGAAATTGCTTTTCACTCAAAATTCAATTGGCTAAAATGCTTCATAGGAATAAATTCTTTGAGTATCAGCATTGGTTCATAATCCCTTCTATTCGCGGAAATATTTGGCCTGACTAGAATTGCTGGTTTGGCTTGACCTTATTACTCGAGTAAAGACGAAACACCTTCGTATTTACGGATTTATTTTTTAATTATTGTTCATTGAACGAGAGTTGGTTTGTTCCCCTTGAAAAGTGAACTAATTTCCGATCAATGACAATGATTACATGCATTTACTTTAATTTTTCCTTTTACAATTGAAATTTTGTTCTTCATGATGATTTAACATTTTACTTTCAAGTTACTTCAAAACATCTTTCAAAATATAACTTACTAGTATGGATTCACTCTTTGAAAATATTTCTACTTTAATTAAGCTTAGGAGATAATATAATCAATTAATCAATATTGTTTACGAAATAAATTTTACTAACTTACTTTGCAGCAATTGCGCGAGTAGTAGTAACTTGTTTTCGCACTAAATGCATTTAAGATCATACTAAATGCACTAATGCATTAGTGTTTCGCACTAAATGCATGTAGATCATATCATATCATATATATAGATATATATAGTAATAATATATATATATATATATATATTATATATATTATTACTAATATTATATATATAATATTATTACTATTTCCCAAACATTGCTTTTGTATTTTAATATATATATATATAATATTATTACTAATATCTCAAACATTACTTTTGTATTTTAATATTTTCCTAAAATTTTTATTACAGTTTTTTAGAGTTATGTATTTTATAACCTCATACAGTCAAAAGTCGTTAATCCGGAATGATCTATAATCCGGACCTCAAAGCTACAAACTTAACGCATGTGCGTAACACCTTCATGCATGCGCGTAATTCGTTTACGCATGTGCGTTTAATGTATAACTGACGGTATAAGCTAAGCTAAAATTATCTAATTATCTATTTCAGTTAATGTTGCAGATTGCGTTGTTCCTTAATCTTCGAATTGGATCCGGCTTATTATTTTTTGCAGACTGTTAGAGCAATTTTATAAAAGTAAGCTTGAACCTTCGATTATGTCAAATAGAATTTCCGATGCTGGAGCTGCCAAAGGATCTACAAAGCAAAAGTATGTTTCGATGTCCATCAAACAAAAAGTGGAATTGCTGCAAAAAAATGGATAAAGGCATATTCTTTGTTAACGACTCATAGCCACAAGAAGCATCAGTTTACAGTGTTTCTGAAGTCTGGATTTTCAGTTTATTAACTAATAGAATAGATGTTCAGCTTATTAATTAATAGTATAGAATAGATTAACCAACAGTAGTACAGAATTTAGTTTGTTAATTAATTGCATATAATCTCATCTTTGAGCTCTAGAACTGAAATTCGTAGTCCATGGGAGTAAGAAAAATTCGTAAATTCATAACCTGTGTTTAAAGAGCTTTTTTTGCTTTCACGGAGATTTTTTTTTTTTTTTTTTTTTCACCTCTTTCCTTCGGTTTTGTAGCTCCGTGGTGTTACAAAATCACGGTTCACTCCGTGGTGTTACAAAATCACGGTTAATTTTATTTCAAGCTTTTAAAGGGAAAATTTCTTGTTTTTCTCTAGTTCTTAAATTTTTCTACAGTATTATCGAAGCTCCAGTCTTTAAATTAAATTAAACTTGGTGCTGGCATACCAGGTATTGATCAACTTCTATGAAATTTAGTTAAGTGTATGATAGCTCGGTTTTAGCCGACAATGTACCACAAAAATGCAGAAAGATTCATCAGCTAGAAATCTACTAACAAAGATATTATTGATAGCAATAAGAATCTCTAACAGAACTGTGAATCGTCTTTAGACAATGTACTTTCAGTGTGTTAATGGACAAGCCGAATTTAGTTCACGACAAACCAGAGCTTAAATTGCGCCGGAGCTCACTGGAGCCGGGATCCAGTACTTCTTAGTTTTTAGGATAAATTATACTTCTAGCCGGAGCACACCGGAGCCCTAAATAAGAAGGCTCTGGTACTTCTTTTATGAAATTGAACAATTTCAGTAGAAATTTGATCTCGAAAAAAAATTTTTAGTAATAAAATTATATTAAAAATTGCTTATTAGATTTATTAAAATTAGAGATAAATTTTAAAAAAAGGCAAAAAAGAAAATCTGAAAGGTTTCAGATTTTAAATTACGTCCAAAGGAGCTTTTTTTTTTTTTTTTTTTTTTTTTTTTTTTTTTTTTTTTTTTTTTTTACATTTTGTGTGTTACCTTGTTATATTAAATATTCTGTTATATTCTGTTCTTTGCACTTAAGCCATAAAATTCAGTTCAAGATCAATGGTTTACCTCAAGGAAGTTTACTTTCGCCCACATTATTTTCAATTTATACGAACGACATCCCACACCACCCCCGCACTACACTCGCACTCTATGCAGACGATACTGCGATCCTATACCAAGATGCGTCCATGGCCGCTGTCGTACATACACTACAAGAACACATCCATGCATTAGAGTTCTGGATGCTCAAATGGAAAATTAAAACGAACGTTGAAAAATCCAGAGCTGTTTACTTCACCAAAAAAAGAATCGTCGACCTGAGTATCACCCTCCAGATGTATGAAGTCAACATTCCCTGGGCCAAGCAAGTCAAATACCTTGGTGTCATTTTAGACCAAAAACTCACATGGGCCCCACACATATCCTGAATAAGTTTCGGGGAACTAAAGCATTACTCAACCCCCTAATTGCCCGAAACTCGGTTTTATCTATTCATAACAAACTTCATGTATTCAGATCCATGCTGCGACCAATTGTTACTTACGCCTGTCCCGTCTGGGGGTATGTTTGTAAAACATACATGC